TAACTAGTAATTTTTTACATGATTTGTTTAAATATTTAGCTTTCCTGTAAATAAATTTTAGTCTATTGTTGACTTTTTTGACAACTTTGCTTCCTGTAATTTCAGCAGTCAAATTGTGTTCTAAGTCTACTCCTAAATATTTTACTGCAGTCTTACTTTGAATATCTGACCCATTGCATGTGACAACAAAGTTTGTAAGTCGACTGATTTTATTTTTTGATCCAAACAGAATGGTTTCTGTCTTTCCAAGGTGCAGGGATAGATTGTTGTCACACAGCCATCTACTAACCGATTCCATTTCCAAGCTTAATTTTTCCTGGATAACCTGAATGTCAGTTCCTGATACTAACAGCGCCGAGTCATCAGCATACAGTCGTATACGATTCGACTGAATCGACACTCCGCATGTGCATATAACAATAATTGCTAAAGTAGATAGGCTCATATACTTTTAATTGTAATTACACGTTTTAATTTCTGTATTTCTTCGCAGACTTTGCTTGCTGCCGGTGCAAAGGTCAACCTGCGGGATAGATACGGCTGGACGCCTCTGCAGAAGGGTGCTTATCATGGTCGTAAGGGGCTCGTGGACACTCTTATCCATGCAGGTAACAGTTACAAATACTTGAGAATTTACTAATAGCTTTGACTGTATACAGTCAGTAATTTCATACATTAGTATAATATAATTATATTTATATGATAGTTTGACAATCTATGAATATATTATGATTATAGGTGCAGACATACACCAGGGGGCTTTGAATCAGAACACAGTACTCCACATCTGCGTGCAGAATGGGCTGGTGCACAACAGTGTTGACACGGTTCATAGCTTAGTCCGAGCCGGGGCACTAGTAAACCAACCGAACACATTTGGGAAGATTTCTCTTCACTACGCCACCTGGTGGGGACTGGTCGACATCATTGTTGAATTGATTCGCGGTGGAAGCGATCCGGACTTCATGGATCATTCGAGGGAGACTCCACTCTTCACGTGCATGCAGGCAGTCGACCAATATCAGAACGAACGTGTCACGCATCGCAATCTCGCAGCCCAGATGGCACTCATCGCCAACGAATGCGACACGCTAAATCTCGCCCAGTGGTTGAAACAGCGCGACATTGTGCGGAGGGTGAAGAGTCGGTGCGACAATTCTTTTCTCGCCTGGTACAGCCAGTCTATTCCTGCGAGCTTGAAGCATTTATCGCGTGAGTGCATTCAGAGACAGCTCAGTCACAGCTATTACCTGCCAGATAGCATACGCAAACTGGAAATTCCCCATGAATTACATGAGTACCTCATGAGAAGTCTGTATGTCATATAGTTAGTGTGGATTTAACCATTTTCAAACCCATGCCATGACATCTGGGGTTAATAATGACAAAATTTGTCATTATTAACCCCCCTGGTGACACGTATGCAAAAGTGTCTGAAAAAGGTTAAATTTGGCTAATGGTACTGTCAGATATCATAGAACAATGTATTTGTGTTACAATATCTCGTATTGTGATGGCACTGTACGTATTGTTACTCATTTCTATCATGATATAAGAGTTTTGCTTTACGATTGTTTATCCCCAGGTGATATTTCTTCGATGTCTGGCTCCTGGTCATACTTTGTTCCCACTGTGATTTACACCTACAATTTTTCGATGAATCAAGTGACCCACACGGGCTGGTAAATGCATGCTAGCCAATACAATGTATGCAGCAAAATTTCTATATATAAAGTTGTTCAGCCGAATTAGTCCGTACTCGCATAACTAGAGAACTCCGCAGCCTAGAGGAAAACTAAAGATATTTTCAGAATCAGCATGTCTGGGAGGTGGTTCTGGCTGAAACAAAAATTTAAAAAAATTAAAAAGTTAAAAATTGATAAAAATTCTATTCATCAATAGATGGTGGTACGTACAGATTAACATCACGTACGTGTGAATCCATGGTGTATACCCTTTTTTCCCTTTACCTACCTCTTTAGTATGTATTATTTTTAATTTTTTAGCTCATCTGACGTAGTCAGATGCAGCTTGTAGAATCGCATGATCGTGCGTCCGTGCGTCCGTCCGTGCGTCCGTCCGTGCGTCCGTGCGTCCGTCCGTCAACAGTTGGGCACAAATCTTAACCGCTCGACGTACGGTCACGATATTCGGGACGTGGGGGGGTAATCCGAAAACGAGTTGAGATGTCGAAGCTGGGGGTCAAAGGTCAAAGGTCAAAGGTCAAGAGGTGTAAAATAAGGGGGAACATTCACTCCTTAACTTAAAGCCGCACAATG